CTTGGGGTCTCTTCCAACTCTAGGATTCTATGATGCAACTGTGTGCTTTGTTTTGGAACTTGGGCTTGCTAGCAGCAATTGTTATTGTGTGCCTTTTTTTGACTCGAGGTGACACTAAGAAGAACCTATCATGTGGTTTTCTTGAAAAAATTTCTTCACAGGGGGTTTGCCGTTGCCTTCCCCTGTGGCTGGGAGAGAGAGACTTGCCTAGAGTCACCCAGTGGGATTGCATGGCAAGCAGGATTTCATTTGCAAAATAACCCAAAAGCAGCCACTTCCCTTGCTTAGAATACTTTTTCTCTTCTCCCCCCCCCCCAGTAGAACAGTGGACCTAATATGAATAAATAGGCATGGGGGGCTGGGGTTGTCAGCCAAGAGGAAAAGGGGCAGTAGCTTGAAAAAGTTTGGAGACCACTGGTCTATGTTATAACCACAAGGTAACCCACGTCAGCGGCCTAAATCCAACAGCTAGTCCCAACTAGAGGAGCCCCATTGAATCAATTCAATAGTAAATTAACAGTTAAGAAAATCTCATTGATTCAGTGGCTTTGCACTAGTTGGGACAAGCCACTGAATTCAGGCTGTAAGGAAAGAGCAGGTTAGTAAATACCCATGTGTCTCGTCAGTCATTTTCAGGGAGTAAACGTCACTTCCCTCAGATAATGCAGCATAGAAGCTTCATCTACAAAAGAATTTGCTCCTACTCTGTTTGGTCATGAATAATCTTCAATATACAATGGAAAGAAAAACAAGACAGTTTATTATTGCCATCTCATTCATAAGGCCCATAAAACCATATTTTTAAAGAAAAGAGAGTAAAGTTAGCTTTCAGAGTAGGTAACAAGACTTTGGAAGATTAGAACACTTGCCAGCCAGAAATCTGTTCAGAATTGATGGCAATGTCTGGCAAATTTTACAAAAACAGCTGGCACTTCTGACAGAAACTTGGGCCTTTGCAGACTGCTAGAAATAGTGCAAATTGAGTCCACTTTAAGGGTTAGGGTTAGGGAATCATGGGAACTGTAATTTATTGTGGCACCAGAGCTTTCTGACAGAGAAGGCTCAATGTCTCAGAAAAAAAAAAATTCCCATGACTCCCTAGCACTAACCCTAACCCTTAAAGTGGACTCAATTTGCACTATTTCTGGCAGTCTGCAAAGGCCCCTAGACAAATTAACCACTTCCATCCTACCTATACAGACACAGGCTAAATTTAATGTACTTCTGCTAATACAAGACCCTAACGCAGGCTCTATTACAGAATTTTTACTCGTTTTTCCTATGTGTTGTTCTGGAATATAACAACCTTTATTTTTATAGTGTCATCAGCATATAATATGCTGATGGTACTGTATTATTTTTCATTGTTTTACATAATAAAATAATAAATAATGACAGGCCCAGCCCAAGGGACTTTCAAACCAAAATGTAACAATACGAGACATAAGAGAAAGAAAAAATGAAAGAAAAAGATATGAACACAGCATGAATATGAATGAATGCTATTGCATATGCATCGTTATCGTGCAAAACTGTGGGTTTAGGGAAGGATTTGGAGAACGAAAATGATTGTTTGGGAGATCCAACCAAACAGCAAAATGACAGAAAATGGGGCACAGCTATTTAACAGCATAGAAGGCTTTTATTTATATGATGGTGGCAGAGCTGAACAAGTGAAGATAATGGGCAGAACGATACAACCATGATGACATGGTTGGAAAG